GGCGCAGGGCCGTGGACGGGCCGCGGGGGCGCCCTCGCGGGGCTGCCCCCCGCCTCGGCTGCGATCCCTGTCCACGGACGCTACGGCCCGTGCTCAGACAAGCCTCCTCCCGGCGGTGCGGGCTGGTGCTCCCACAGCCCCGCCTCACTTCGGAGGAACCCGCTAGGGGCTGAGGGCACAGGCTGACCACCCTGGGCACACACGCTCGTGAAACCATCCCCAACACTTCCGTACCCGTCTGGGATGTTGCCGATGAAAGGCGGAGGAATGCGGGGCGCTTCAGCACTAAGCAGCAGCCGGGGCAGACCAACCGCTCCGGCCCTCCCTTGGCACAGCCTTGCACCCTGCACCTGCCCCCCGCAACCCGTCTGGCCGAGCTGCCCGGCCGGCCGGCCCTGTACCCACCTGGCCGCCTCTGACCACTGCCACCAGCCCGGCCCCTCCAGGCTCCAGCGTCATCACTGGCGGGGCGTGGGGCTCAGCCTGCCTCGGGACCCACGTGACACTGCCCACCAACACATCCATCCCCACGGTGGCCCCGCTGTCCTGCCAGCTCCTCGGGCCGTCCCTGACCCCCTCTCTCTCTCATGACGTCTAGCCCAGCAGCAAGCCCCACGCCTCTGCCTCCAGAGTGGCCAGAGCCCCACTCACCCCACAGGCCTGGCCTAGCACCCCACTGCCTCCTGGATGCCGGCCTGCATCCCAGCCCTCCAGTCCGCCCTGCGTGCGGCCTCCCGGAAGAGCCGGCGTCCTCATGGTGGCCCACGCAGCCTCGCCCCCTGACCTTGGCCTCACTAACCGTGTCACTCCCCCACCACACAAGCCCACGCTGCTCACAGACACACCTGCTCACTCCCGCTGCCCGCACTGCTCCTCCTGGTTTGTCCACGGAGACACCCTCCGCCCTGTCATCACATGGCCCAAAGACCCCCCTGCATGGGCTGGCAGCCAGCATGTGAGCCTCAGGAAGGGCCATCGAGCCCCACGTTCCAGGACAGGCCGGCAGAGAAGGGGCCACAGAGGCAGAGAGCACCTCAGGGGCGCCCAGTCTGCCGTGCATCTGACGTGGCCCCAGGAGAACATGCTCATCAGGAGAATGGCACAGATGAAGCCAAGACTGGGGCGGTGCGTACGGGCACAGCTCTGCAGATCACACACACGGCAGAGCTTCCGAGCAGCCAGGGCAAGGAGGGAAACCGCACACTAGATCCTTGGGGGTGGGCGCCGCCTTCCTGGGACCTGGGCCCTTGTCCCCAGCAGGCAAAGGACCAGGAGTCTGGCCACGTGCATCTCTGTGGCTGTAGGGATCAGCCTCCCCGTGCCCTGAGCGGGGGGGCCTGCACGCAGAGCCCACCCCAGCCACCCAGCTCCCAGCAAACTCACCATCTGGAGTGGTGTCATTGTCCCAGTCCCAGGCCTCCACAATGAGGGTAAAGGAGCGCTGCAGACACGGGAGCAGGCAGTTAGGTACCCACAGCCCCTGCCTGCCCCACCTACCACATCCCAGCTTGGCCACCGCCCCTCCCCCGTGCCCCCTCGCTGCCCCTGGGTCGTGAGGGCTCCTCCTCCTCTAGGCCCACCCCCACCTCACCCCTCCGTCCTCAGGAGCAGCCTCATGCCACATCCCAACAGACCCCAAAATGACCCAGGGGAGGCGGCTGTGCCTCCATGTGACGGAGGCTCTGGGCCCTTGAGCTCCTGCGGCCCCAGGGGCCCCCACCTAGCCGGCTGGACCGGCTTGATCAGCACGCAGAGAAGGGAGAATGACCCAAGCAGAGCGGGGGACTGAGGGCTGGCACAGCCCAAGTGAGCGGCCATAGACCAGGGTCCCCTGGGCGGCCTGGGTCTGCAGGATGGCCAGTGGGAGCCCCCCTGGGCACCTCCCTGGGGCCTGGAAAACACGAGGTCCTGCTGCTAGCAGAGACCCCAGAGGATCGAGGCCATGTCACCACCCTAGCTGCCCCCCCTGCCCCGGGCACCCAGGGACGGAGGGCAGAAGGCACAGCCACCACGAGGCCCCTGACCGGCCCACGCTCCCATGCTTCACCCAGGCTACAGCAAGTGCCCGGCTCAAGGGCACCCAACCCACAAGCCTGCCTCCTCCGAAGAACAGAAGGGGCGGGGAGGGGCCCTGGCGGTGCAGATGGGGAGGCTGAGGCCCAGGGACAATGTGAGGGGGTAACATCACCAAGCAACCTCAGGACACCCTCCCCACGAGAGCCACCAGAGCCCGCAAGCGGCCCCGCCCTGGTCACTCACGGGCACAAGCTCTGGCAGGGGGCACTGGCTCCCCTATGCGAGCCGCTCAGCCCTTTCAGACCCGCCGTGAACACGCTGGCCACCCCTCCATCCGGCCCCGGCTGCCCCGGGTTGGGGGCCCACGGCACAGGGCCACCTGTGTGGCCACGGGCTGGCTGGCTTCCCACCCAAGGCGGGACCGCCCTGGTGAGGCCAGCCTCATCCCCGCCCTCGGCGCCCCCTATCTTCTGGCCCTTGCAGTATGGCTGTGCCGGGGAAACCACGCTTCACAGCCGAGGGTCGAGGGCTGCCGCCGGGGCCGCTCCCGCAGCCCCACAGCCTCCTGCTGATGGCCAAACCCAGGCCTTCGGGTCCTGCCCTCGGTACACTGCAGCGCAGACAGGCCCCGGCCGCCCTGTACCCCAGCCCCACACCAACCACACCCACAGCCTCTGGGTATCCGGAGGGCCCTCCCTTAGGCACCCTCTCTTTGTGCCCACCCCAGGCCTGCAACTGTCCCTGCAGCAAGACGGCCCCAGGACACACTGGCCCACCTGCAGCTACACGGGGCCTTATCTACACTGCCGACCCTGCCCTGAGCACAGCCTCCCAGACGCCCCAGGAAAACCCACAGGACCTCACAGCCACCCGGGAGCACGGGCGGGAACCCAGGGGCCAGCCTTCTAGAACACTCCCTGCCATGTCGAGCTGTGTCCAGGCTCTCAGTCCCACTTCTTGAGTCTCCTGTAAACACACGCCCCATGGCCACAGCCAGGCCAGCTCCCTGCAGCCAGTGGGGCCTCCACACCCCCGTCCATGGGGGCCCCGAAGACCCCCAGGGCTCGCCCTCCTCCCAGCCCCGCAGCCCCTGCTCTGCCTCCCCCTCGGCCTGCCCACCCTGCCCCTGGGCCTCTGCACACACGGCTCCCTCCCTGTGCTGAGAATGCCTCCCTCAGGCCAGCCTTCCCCGCCACTCCCGCCATTCCTGGTGACAGCTCGAGGGTCCAGCTCCTTCCCAGGCCCCACTGCATTCTTTCACTCGAGGAGCGAGCACCAGGCACGGCTCTGCTAGCGGATGAGTCAGCGGGGACCCAGGGCTGAGGTGCTGCTCTGAACAGGGGTCAGGGCAGGCCTCGGAGAGGGAGACCTTGAGACTGAGAAAGCACTTGCGACGACGGCGGCAGCGTGGCAGGCCCATGGGGCTGGAGGAGCAGGGGCGTGAGGACAGAGGGAGCGGGGTCAGACGGCACATGGTCGCCAAGGCCGAGCAGAGTGGGTGGCTGCTGCTGGGTCCGTGAGGCTGGGCACGAGAGAACACCAGCGGGACGAGCACCTGGGCTTCAGGTGAGTGGGGAGCTCCTCCTGGCTCCCAGGAAACCCCACGCCAGCCACTCAGGTAGGATTACCACCACCTTCGTCCGAGCTCCGGGCTCCAGTTACCTGCTCCCACAGGATGCGCCCCCGCCCGCCCACCCTAAAGGGCCCCAGCGCCCGCCAGCTGGGCTCCCCACACACAGACAGCAGGAAGTCATCCAGGGAGAACCTGAGCCAGCAGGCGCACCTCCCCCAGCGCTGGGCCCCCAGCCTCCTCTCCGCCCACAGGGCCGGCCTCCAAGACTCAGTTTCCCCGATGCAAACGGCAACCTCTCGTCCCTGCGCTTTCTGATGCGCGTGCCTCGGGCCAGGACAGGGTCCCCAGAGGGCAGGAGAGGCAACAGGCCTGGGCTGGAGGCCTCTTCGGTGTCCTAGGGCTCCAGGGATGGGGCTGGGGCAATGAGAGCTGAGCGGGGACGGCTGAGGGCATCCCTAGCTAGCACTCGGAGGAGCCCCGGCCCCTCCTCCCAGGCCAGCCTCAGCTGGGCCACCCGCCCGGCGAGCTGGCCTGAGTCCCTGAAGGCCCAGCCACACCTCTTCCAGAAAGACTGCCCTGGCCCACCTGCACCACATAGGCGGACCCCCAGCCTGACCCCCAGCCCAGACCCCCGAGGCCAGGTCCTACGCCTCAGGGAAGACAACACAGCAGCCCAAAGACACGCAGATGGTACAGGGCGGACCTGGGACCTGTGCACCACACCCCAGGGCCTGGGGCGCTCCATGGCCAAGAAGGCCCAGCACAGCCCCTGCTGCCCACTGCCCGAGTCCATGGGCTCCAACCTGGCTTCCTCCCGCAGCATCCCGCATCAGCAACCCAGCCCCCCGCGGAGCAGAGCGTGGTGCTGGCGCCAGGAGCTCTAAGCACAGATACATTTCCTGAAACCTGAGCCTTGGAGAAGCCCGGGCCTCTGCCGCCATTGTCCCCGGGGAGAGGGAGAGGGGGCCACCTCCCTCCAGGGCTCGGCAGGAGGAATGGATCACACAGCCACCCCATAGAGGAACCCAGACACCCACACTCCACACTACAGAGCAGCCAGGGCCTTGCCGGGTGCGCCCATCCTCAGCCCAGGATCTCCCCATGCCTTGTCACATGAACCCTATAAGGTCCCTATAGCAAAGCCCACAATCTGCTGATACTAGGCATACCTTCCTCACCCGGGGTCCTGGGGATGGGGACCCCAGCTCATCTGGGGTCTGCAGTTTAGGGATGGGGACCCCAGCTCACCCAGAGTCTGGGGATGGGGACCCCAGCTCACCTGGGGTCTGCGGTCTGGGGATGAGGACCCTAGCTCACCTGGAGTCTGGGGATGGGGACCCCAGCTCACCCGGGGTCCTGGGGATGGGGACCTCAGGCTCACCTGGGGTCTAGGAATAGGGACCCCAGCTCACCCAGGGTCCTAGGGATGGGGAGCCCCTGGGGTTTGGGGACAGGGACCTCAGCTCACCCACGGTCTAGGGACAGGGACCCCAGTTCACCCAGGGTCCTGGGAATCAGGACCCCAGGTCACCTGGGATCTGTGGTTTGGGGATGGGGACCCTGGCTCACCTGGAGTCTGGGGACGGGGACCCCAGCTCACCCGGGGTCCTGGGGATGGGGACTCCAGCTTACCCGGGGTCTGGGAATAGGGACCCCAGCTCACCCAGGGTCCTAGGGATGGGGACCCCAGCTCACCTGGGCATGGGGACAGGGACCCCAGCTCACCCAGGGTCCTACAGATGGGGAGGTCTGGGGACGGGGACCCCAGCTCACCTGGGGTCTGGAAATAGGGACCCCAGCTCACCCAGGGTCCTAGGGATGGGGACCCCAGCTCACCCGGGGTCTGAGGATGGGGACCCCAGCTCACCCAGGGTCCTAGGGATGGGGACTCCAGCTCACCCAGGCTCCTAGGGACGGGGACCCCAGCTCACCCAGGCTCCTAGGGACGGGAACCCCAGCTCACCTGGGGTCTGGGGATGGGGACCCCAGCTCACCCGAGGTCTGGGGATGGGGACCCTAGCTCAGGCCTGGAAATTAGAGATGCTTGTCACCCAGCCTGCCCCCCTGCCCACCACATCTAGATTACCACAGAACAGCTGAATGAGGTCCTAAAAACCACAGTCCCTCCCATAAAGCCCCTGCCACCAACCCTCCAGCATCCCTGTCGTACCGCAGCCTTCCTCCCCAACCCACCCCCTCCAAGCCTAAGGACAAAGCCTCCAGTCCGTTTCCAAGCCCTCCACTGGCTGGTGCAGCCCTTCCAGCTCTGCCCTGCTGCCCCCACACCAAAGCCTCAAACAAGACTCCGGACACCAAGCAGGTGACGAGGCACAGAGTGGAGCGTGGCCTGCTGAGCCTCAGCCAAGCAGGACTCCCGGCCCCCTCTGGGATGGCATGGGAAGGATGCGTGCAAGGGCCCCAGTGTGCCCCAGGGGTAGGGTGGGGACCAGGGCCCATCCTGCCCTGAGCTCCTTAGGAGCGGCGGGGAGCACAGGCAGGATGCAGTCCCACCACCAAGGGCAGCTCAGGTGCCCCTGGCCGTAGACCGCAGCCTGGCCCATCTTGGGCTGGAAACTCACAGCTGACAAGCTCCCGGGGCCACTGGCCACAGTAGAGTCAGGCCCCGTGTTCACAACCCACCAGATCCTCCCTAACTGGCCAAAGACCCCACACACACCCCGAGCACACCACGGCCCCTTAGGGACTCTGGCCTTCTGCGGGGCACAGATGGAAGAGGAGGCGAGGTGGGCCAGGGAGTCAGCCTGGGGGCTTCCCCAAGGCCGAGCCTGCACCCCACAGCCCTGCCCCCTTCGTGAGATCCCACCGTGGCCCCATTTCACAGGTGGGAAAGCCGGGCCCCAGAACCTGCTATGGCCCAAGGTCTCAGGTGGCTGCACTGTCAGGGTCTGTCCACATACACAGCCCTCTCCTTGAACCCACGGTGCACACCACAGGGGACACATATGGGTGGGGTCCCGGGGTCCCGGTAGCCTGAGCCTGGCCCAAGTAGGAAGGGGTGCAGCTCCTGCCGGCCCCTCCCTCAGGACGGGGCCCTGGCTGCCACGCTACCCCCCATCAGCCAGCCCCTCTGAGTTCACCACTCACAAGGCCCCCCAAACCCTCCACTGGCTACCTCCCGCACCCAGAGGAAGTGCACACACACGTGCACACACACACATGTGCACACGTCCACGCGTGATCAGACATGGTCTCTACCCTGTCAACTGCTGCCTAGGCACCTGGACCTACGAGGGGTCACTGAACTCCTGGGGCGCAAGGGGGAGGCATGGGGCATCTGTGAGGTGGGTCAGGAGAGGAGCAGCCATCACCCCAACCCCGGGCTGCCTCCCGGCAGCTTTACCCTGACCTCCCCACCTCCAAAAGCCTGGACCCGCTCCTCTGCAAACACGGAGCCTGACCCCAACTGGAACCACGCACCATAGGCGGCGCAGCCCGTGCGACCAGGGCAGGGCGCAGAAGGCTTCGGGACTGGCCGAGGGCAGCTGGAGGGGGTGGGGGTGCAGAGCCCAGACTAGCTCCTATCGTCCTACCTCCAGGGGTGTGGGCAGGGGGCAGGAGGGGCCGCTTCCTACGCCCTTCCACAGGTGCCCCCTTTCCCGCTCCGGCCACTTTCGAGGCCCTCCCCCCACCTCCTACTCCCAGAGTGCAAGCTGGTCCTGGGCCGGAGCCCCCCCACCCCCACCCTCCCCCATGAGGCCCAAATGCAGTTTCAAACGCGCCCCAGCTCACAGGACGGAGCTGGACTTGCAGCAAACCGAGGCAGCGTGGCCGCGGGGCGCGGAAATACCAGGGCACTGGCATCACAAACCAGCTAGGCGCCCAGCCGCCAGGCTGCGCCGCTGGCGGGGAGCAGAGAGGCCGAAGCTGCCCCCCAAACACAGCCGCCCCGTGGCCCAGGGCTGAGACTGAGCCCCCTCCTGGGGGAAGCAGCAGGGGGAGGAGGGGTGAGGTCCCAGAAGCTGCTGCCCAGACTCCCGGGCTCCCCCGCCCCCCGCCAGCCCATGGGGCCAAGAGCCGTGAGGGGCACGCGCTGGCCCCGCCACATTCCTCCCAGGCCTCCCTGCCCCCACCCCCAGCACTGCCAACTCAAGCAGAAAACACATCCTCAGGTAGCGATTTGGAGCCACGCTGGCTCAGGCCCAAGTGCAGATGACAGGCTGCGGGCTCTGCTCAGACCTGCCTGCTACACCCCTGTGGGGGCGAGGGGGCTGAGCTTATCCGAAACTGCCTGGGGCCCTCCCAGGCCTGCCCCTGCCTTCTCCATCAGGGATGCACTTCCCACCCAAGGTCCCGAGGTCAAGGGAGACCCCAGAGTCCAGCCAGGCACGCAGGGGCGGCGCCCAGGCCAGAGGGGACCCTGGCCATCCTCCCTATAGCTCGGAGTTCAAAAAGGAGCAAGGATGGGGTAGAGAGCAAAGCCGCCTGGTCTAAGCTTAGGACAAGGTGTCAGCACAAGACTCAGAGCCAGGGTTGGGGCAGGAAGGCCCAGCCCCCCATGGGGTGGGTCCTCGTGGCCCAACCTTGGCCAGCTTGGCCTCAACTCCCAGCCTCCCCCGGACCAGGGTACCAGGTGGACCCGTTCCTGGTGCTCCCCACTGGCTGGTCCAGCCACAGTCCTCGGTTAGAAGGTTGGGCTGCCAATCACAGCCTGGCACGCTATTCCAGGCCCTCCCTGCTCACAGATCCTCTCCCAAGCCCACCCCAGCTATCCCTGGCCAGTTCCTGCACACTGGGCTACCTCTCCGGGGTCTTCTCTCATTCCTGCCCCACCCAGGCTTGCCGCAAAAACCTCCAGTGTGGGGGAAGGGGGCAGGTTCTGCTTCACAAAGTGGACCCCCTCAGGCATCCGGAGGCCTTGGCTGGCCCACCCAGATATTTGGGCACATCCCCCTGCCTGCCTGCCCCAGGACAGCCCACAGGGCTGGGCCACGTCCCTCCCAGCATTCCCAAGCCCATGGTTCCCGCCTGCCTGGCACCCCCCACAGCCCCCTCAAAAGAAAGAACAAACAAAACCAAAAGCCTACAAATGGGTGATACCATACAAGATCACACCAGGGCCCACTGTCTCTTCCCCGGGGCGGGGTGAGGAAGGGAGGAGGAGGGGGTAGGGGGAGGGTCCCGGGCCGGCGGCAGGGGGTGCGCCAGCATTCGCACATTGGGTCCTCCGGGGCCCAGGTCCCCGGGCGCCAGCCCGAGCTGCCCCCCACCTCCACCCTCGGGCATCCAGGAAACAGCAGGGCGGGCGAAGGCTGGCCACGGGCCCGGGCGGCTCCGCCAGGGCCTGCCCCAGACCAGCCCCAGCACGCGCGGCGCACATGCCTCCGCGGCCT